GAACCATTCCCTATTTACTCCCTCAAATCAAACCTCTTTCTCATTTATCTGTTGAACTAATTCTCTAATCTCCTTTTTGCTTAAAAGATACTGGTCTAAATGTTCCTGGACTTTCTTTTTCTTACTTTGACGAAATTCTTCATTTCGTTTCCAACAATGTGGACTAATTTTTAAGACCGTGCGGAGAACACCAAAAATTACTACCTCGCATTCCGTAGTAGTGATATTAATAGGCTCGGTGGGGGGTTGCTGAGCGACCATTCTGACTAATAATTTTTATTTCCAAAGGAAGATGTAAGTTATCGGCATAAGCCACTAATTCTCCCAAGATTAATTTATTAAAATGAGCGAATAAAATATATTCTACTTTAATTTGGTCTATTCCTAATTTCTGACCTAGTTCTTTTTCAGTTAAACCATTTTCCCGAGCATAACGAGAGATGCTTTGGCAAAGTTCATATTTGATTTTTTCCTCCGTGGTAGCATTAGGCAATAAACCCTGATTTATGCGACGATAGCCTGGTTGGGTCATTCTTTTAATTACTTTTTGCATTTCTTTTTCGGGGGGAAAAGTAAACTCTTTTTTATTATTTAGTTCTTTTTTTATGTTCATAAGCGAATTATTTTCTTTTTTTAGCACTTCCCTGTTATATTTAAGTTTTACAACTGACTATTAAAAGCCAGCATTAATTTCAGTAAATTATTACTTTATCCATTTCAGTTCTTAATCAGAAAATACAAACAAATAAAAAAATAAAGAATACTAATAATCAAAAAAACTATTCCCATTAAACTAGTTCTCTGTTCCTCTTTCAAAATGGTAAAGTATTGAATGAAACAGAACACACAAGGAAACAGAGTTAAAAATTTAGCAAAAGTTTTATTCATGTTATTATTTCTTATTTTTTAACTTTTCTAATTCTCGGACTATTTTCCTCCGTCCAATAAAATAATAGATTAAAAAAGAAAGCGAAGCAGTGAGGATAATGGCTAATTTTCAAACCATTTGACCTTTTGGCATTTCTTTATACTTAACCAGCATTCAACTTATTTTTAATACTGTGGCTAAAAAGGAAACTCCTAACAGAACATTGTATCAGAACAAATCAGATTTTAATTCTTTTATCTTTTCTTTAATTTCTTTGTTCATTTTGTTCGTTAACTTAGTTTTAAAAAAAATAAATTAAAGATTACTGACTACTGACATTAATTCTGACTTTGTAATAAAAATTTTCCTTACACTTTCAAACTAAACTCATTCAAAGACCAGCCGTAAAACCCAATCCCATAAAGAATAATTTCAACTAAGTCCTCGTGAGTGGGGAAAGTTAGCCAAAAGGATTCCGCCACTCATAATAAAACTTACTTTTAATTTTCTTTTTTCTCTTTTATTCGTAATTAATTTTTTTACTTCTCCCTTTCCAAGTCCTTCAAAATCTCCTCCACAATTCTCCGACACTCCTCAATCTTTAACAATTCCTCACAAAAAAACCTAATATTCTCTTTTTGGTCCTGCTCTTTTCTTTCT